GAGATCACCATCTCAATCAGTGGAAACGGGAACACTTCCAGGGGGCAATTCAGCCCATCCTGAGATAGAAATCTAAAGGTAGGGTGTCTGAGTGGGAGGTCTCTTGACCTAAGACACTGTCCAAAAGAATAGCTTTGACTAGACTAACTTAAATCAACAATGAAGCTGCCAAAGGTGGGGAAATTCATCCCGTCCACAGTGTGCACAGCAAAGCCAAAGAAATATTTACACATCATTGCCTTTCCTAGATGCTGTTATCCTGAATATAGTTTTCCAACTGATGTAAATCCAGATTATGTAAATCATCATGACTCTATAGACATAAAATAGCCAACAGAATAACCAAAAGTTTCTATGCTAATACCAGTTCTTTTTCTCGTTGGCATAGTTTTTAGGAATTGCTTTGAAACATTATTTAAATTAAAGGAGGAATGGCTTATTGCTAGTTTAGATTTCTATTTAAAAAATCTCTGACCTAAAAGGTGCTATAACCTTTTACAGGCAGAAATAAATGTGTTGAGGAGAATAGTTGAAAATGTCAGCTCCTTCCAGCCTTAGAAATTGCTATGAATGCAACATTACTAGTTAAACACAAATATCTATACTGTGTAGAGCAACCACTCCAAATGAAAATGTGTTCCCTGTATCAAAGAGAGCTCTGTTAAAGAATACATTAACCAAAGGGCAAAGTCTCTTTGTTCATCAATTAAATGGAGAAAGCACAATAAGATCAAATGGCTGGGGTTGGGAGTGTGTTGGGGAAAGGCTGCAGCCATGTCCTTCACCATTTCACAGCTTCTTAATAATATTATTTGTATTATTTGAAATTTTCTGAATGTTTATTAAAGTGCAGTTGAGTTTGGAAAAGAGGAGAGAAAGGTTGTAAGACTGGCATAGAAATGTGGGAATAGAGGGGTCAATGAAGAAGAAACGGTAAGGTCTCTAATATTAAAATAAACATTTTTTACCTTCTCACCTTCCATGGTTGAAGATGCCAAAGTGTTCCATAAAGTCCCTGTATGTGGCCTGGATGCAGAAGGCAGCAGGTGACCAGCATGCAGTGTACCTGCAGGAAAGAGAGCAGGTTACTGGTTACTGGACTTTACTCTTACAAATCTAAACTGACCTCTTTATCCAGTGCGGTGATATTTTAATGTATTAACATATTTTTAAGATCAGTGGGAAATATGATAAACACCTTGTCTGAACTCTTCCAACAACAGCTAAAGGACTCAACCCCGTAACTCCTGCCAATAGCCTCTGATTGAGCAACAGCCTCTTTGAGAAATCTGCTGGCTTATTCCAATGACTGATATTAGAGAGGAAGAAGTTCCTTTGAGTCGACAAAATCTTTATCTACCATGTTTTGATATTTTTCCAGGTCTTAACATTGTGAGGTGCAGCTGGTAAAAAGCACCTCTGTTCTTCACCAACTATTGTACATTCAGCCAGCATTCATCAGGCTGGAGCTCCAGTCCGCTCAATCTCTCCCCTTAACTTCAGTATTAGCTAACTCACTTAATACTGCCCCAGAAACATACTGGGTCCCCGTCATATAGAGGTTTTAAGGAGGCAAGGATAAAATCCCCAGTGTAAAGAGAAAAACAATACACCAAATGTTGTGAATACAGATGTGCCATACAGAGTGACACCAGATGCCCAAGTCGTTTGCACTTTTTGTGTGTGTTTTGATTTTCCTCACTGTCGTACCAAATGCTGGTGCACCAGAAGCACAGAGGGCAATGCCTAGCGGCACTACAGCTTTGTACATCAAGCTAAGCACCTGGAGATAGATGCCTGCTGCTTATTAGGCAGCACTATGAAGTGATTTGATTCAGAGCAGCAATGTTCTGGTGTGGAGAATGGAGGGTTGAGAAATGTTTTAATTTATTTAGTGGCTGGGGAACCTGGTAAAAAACAATTTATAAATTCTGCCTGTATCCAATCTATTTTTGTCATCGGGACAACTAAAAGACATAAATACAGAATAACGCTATTCCAACACAGAATTATACTTCCTTTGCCATTACTCCGAGCAGCTGTGGAGCCCAAGAGCTTTGCTGATGTGAGAGAGATATACAGGTTCCCCCAAAGAAGTGCAGTCATCTACTGTTACCACAAGACATGTGATTTTTCTTTTTTTCCCTTTGGTTCAATATACGTTACAATTTTTTAGCTGAAAGAAACTAGAAAAGGGCACAGGACAGAAGCATAGTCCTTGTCTTTAGATGGACTTCAACGTATTCTGGGAGCACATGAGGTAAAAACTTTCAGCTGGCCTAAGCCTCCACGTGTGTCTGGTAGGACCTTTTAACTTTTGTCTCATCTCTCTTAAGTTTTTTGGGGACAAGGAATACATTGCTTCATCTGTTGGTTTTATCCATCATTTTGTGAGAAATTTTCACCTCTCTTAATATGTTGGACCTTTTATGGATGTTTTATGATAGTATTTTAGCTCATCACTGTCTTCATCTTCATTTCATACATGCGGGTCTCAGTCAAAGGGAAGGAGATAACTAGTGTGGAGTCTCTCAGGAAACGTCACGCAGCAAGGTGTTGGATCTGTCCTTTACAAATGCCCTAACAAAAGGAGCTCCCTTCATTTCTGTTCACCTCATGTTCAATAAGATAACGGAAACCACACAATTTGTTCAGTTTCTCAAAGAAATAATAAGCCAAAGAGGAAAAAGCATTGTCCCAGTAGATCTGTGAGACAGATCACTGCTAAGCAGAAGAAATAGCCGCAACAACAAAACGCTGATTTCTGAGGTGCTTCAGTGCTCCAACTAGAATTTTACATTGATTATATGCCAAGTCATTATTTAGGCAGACTAAACAATCTGCATTGCAACTTCAAATGGGAGAATCACTGAGGCACCTGCTCTGTGTTCGTCTGATGAAATAGAGAAACTTGATATGAATAAAAGAAGAAAAGAGATGTTGGCCACAGATACTGGTCATCCCTGGAGCATGTGTTTGAGCAATGAGACTATGATAAGAGCCACCACAACGCACTCTGGGCTGCACAAGAGAGAAGGATTTAATCAGGTTTTTCTGTCTTCTCCAACAGATGTGTTGACAATCCATAAGCGTATGGCTTTCATTCACAGGAGTTATTTGCCCCCAAGAGCTTTAATGTAATTTTCAGGCAGTTTCCTAGCCCCCATTTCTCTCATTTCTTAAATATATGTGTTTCCTCAAGAGAAAAGGGTAATAATCTTCTGAAACAGAAATGGATGGAATTCAGCCCAGTCAAAACCAATCAGATGCTTCAGATTTGAGGTTTATATACTTCATTTAAATGATCTGCTAATGAACATGAGCAGAAACACAGAGCAGTGGTGGTCACAGGGAATTCACTGACATTCATTCACTGATTTTTTACTCTCTTCTCTGTTGGTACCCACATTATCTGACAAAAGTGGTTTTTTACCTGGGTTTTTTGATTACTTTTTTTTTTAATCAAAGACATTGTTGGCTTCTTATTGCTTTATAGTGAGAGTTTGGATAATCAAAGCTGCTTCTATCTGCAACATATAAAATTATTAAGTTAGTTAACATTGCAGATTCTAGGGAAGTAGGGACAGGGAATACCTCAAGGACTCTGGAAATCTCTCCTAACCCACACCAGGAGAGTCTTTTGTACTTTGAGGCCTCATGAGTGTGAAGGATTGTCTTTGGTGTATCTTAAGGTAGTAAAGATGTGTTGTTTGTAGTTTAGGGCTTTAAGGTTTGCCCACAGAATGAAAATATTGCTTCCTACTTTCCTTGCTGGATCCTGCCAACTGTAGAGACTTCACGTTCTTGAGTGTTCACCAAGTAATCTGATGTGTTCAACAGCTCAGAAGAGCATCAGGATAAAAGTGATCTGCGCCATTTCATAGCTAGGTAATGAATAGGAGTGAAAAAACATGATATAGACATGCTGTTCCTCCAGTAAATCATCAACAAAACTCTGACTTTAAATGTTCATTTTTCAGAAGATAATACAACTTTTTAAAGGAAGTGAAAGTAAATCTTTATGATTGATGGACTAAAGTAGGGCTCAGGAGACAAGCTAAAAACCTAATTGTTTCTGCAGCTTTTATGAGTGTGATTCATCTGGTGTAATTTTATCTACCTGTAAGCTAAGTGTTTAATCCACGCTGGTTATTCAAGGCCCTTCTATGAGAGAGATGGGCATTTCGAGTTCGTCCAACCTATCCTAAATGATAGCCCTTTCTAAGGTGCTTTATTATTTTCCTATGACAAAAGAGTGAGTGTCTTTCTCTTCCTAAGCATGTAGTTTAGATGGATTCATCTCATCCACCTTCATCATTCCCTTGATGTTGTAGCAGCAAGGACCTTTTCTCCACTTGAGCCTCAGCAACCCCTCTGGCAGAGGTTTTGGGGATGCCTGTAGTATCGTTTATGGGGCGCATATACATGACTAGTTATGTACAAAGGCCAGGCTAAAAGCCTGAAATAAAATGAGTAGTAGCTACCTTTTTCATTTGGTTGGTCATTCTTCTTTCTGTAAACTTCGAATCTTTAAATTATATTCATACAGTGTCCTAGAACAGAACCATAATGGCATCGTGTTAGAATGATGAAAATTTCTCTCAGAACACTTGGGTCCCAGAACAGAAAGCTGTTGTATGACAGAATTTCTATGAGTAACTGTAATTTTTCTCAATGATGGAGTTAAAAATATGGCAAAATCTCAATAGTCTGGTTAGCTGATCAGCTTGGGATGCTAGAGTGATTGACAAACTTCTGAGAAAGTGCCTACATACTCTTTCTGTCTTTCCAGTTCAAGGCTCACCAACACTTTTCATGAACTATCATACTACTAATATCTTGAACAAGGTTGGTCTACTGGTCTTTTTTTCTTTTTTTTCTTTTTCTTGCAAGTAGCCCTGTTGTTGTGGTCAGCCTTAATGTCATCTTCTTTGTGATCAACTAAAATAAGCAAAATATGGCCTTAATTTTGCCTTGCTTTTTTTTTTTTTTCCTTTCAGTGGCTGCATCAACTGCTAATTCCACAGCTGGTGCGGCCATGAATTCTTTGACTTCTCTGGGTACTCTCCAAGGACTGGCTGGAGCCACTGTTGGACTGAATAATATTAATGCACTAGCAGGTACCGTAAACAGTGAGTATTTATTGCTGTGGTGGACAGCCTTCCCCAATAATCATGCCACAAAAACTCTCAATTGTAAAGAAATGATATTATTATTTTTAATCTATAAACAAAATAAGGGGGTCAAGTTGGTCTAGTTTCATTCACGGTTCATATGCAGTTCTGGAGTCCTTTAGTTTCACATAGTTTTCTCTGCAAAGTGAAGTCCCTTGGGTCCCTGCACAGACTCATTTCCGTGCAGGGTGTATGGAAGGTAAAAGAAATGTCACCAGGGATTTGGGTTATCTAGGTTATAGGAGAGACTCCTTTTTCATTTAGGGAGGCTGACCACAGGTATATCACCCCTATGTACAAAACCTCACGCAGAAGTGTATTGATAAGAAAGGTATTTGCCACAGAGGCAGTCCCTTTAAAATGTCTGTAAGAGTTATCAAATTGACTTGAGAGCAGCATACATTAAAAGTTAAGGCAAATCTTTGCCTTTTAATTGGCAAGTATAAAAGAATGATGCAATCAGTCACCTGTAATACCAGAGCATGTACATCTATCCTATGACATCTTAAACAAACCCTGGCATCTCCAGCTAGTAGATGCCAGTAGTTGTTAGAACATTCTTCCTTGTTCTTAGCCTTGGTCAAGATTTTCCTGAAGAAGAAGGATTTTTTTTTATTGTTTCTGCTATGATGACTTCACCTTTGCCTGCAATGGAAGAGATTTGTCCAGCTGCATTTTCCCCCCTCCCTTTTTTTTAGCTGCTGTTGCCCCTTGCATTTCCTTTTGCAATGCAAGGAATCTATTTGGTCATTACCAGTCCATGGCCTATCATACTGTACCCCCAGGAATGGATGTCCTCCTCAGTATCTCTTGCTCACTCTGATGCTCTGCATGATGTCTTTTTTGTCACTGTTACTTGGCTGCTCACCCAATCTTTTTGTTCTGTGATCTCTGGTTGTCATTGTTGGGAGTTGGGAAGGAAGGGGGCTTATGGATGTCCATGTAGCAATGTTGAGTGATTGCATGGGGTCTTGTGTAAAACAGGTCTTGCTTCTGGCAAGGACATGCATATTTCACACAAACAACCTCATAGTAAGTATGACTCAAGAACAACTTAAGAAAAGTATTGGGTCCCCAAATGGCTGATGTTAGTTTCCTTTCTTATTATTGCATTAGTATTAAAGCAAGCCACTGAAAATGGCATGCATGAAAAGCTAACATCTCCTCTCATGAGCCCTCATAGTAAGAGAGCTACCCTGCATAAGTAAGAAATCATTAAATGTCCTTTCCTGATAAACAGTCATTGTGCATTGGTTTATAAGAAGTCACAACAACAAGAGCAGAGTATGGCATCCCACTCCTTCCCTCCCACAAGTACTAAGAACCCAGGCATGATGGAGCACTCCAAGAAAATGTCCACTTCATCAAGACTGAGCAAGAATGAATCACCTATGAGGTCTTGACAAACAGAGAGTTTACATTTTCTCAGCAAGTATTTTGAGGTGATGTGTGTGCAAACTTATCTCCATGTGTTATTTGAAGTATTAATGACATATTCACACACTAGTACCGAATTTCAGTTTGTTCTAAGCTACTGTTACTTCCATGGACTTGTACCAACAGTGGCTTCAGTCCCAAATCTTCTTCATGGATGTTTTTATGGACACAGAGAGTGTGTGTGTGCCTAGAATATCTGTATGTGTATAGCACTTACAAAATCTATGTGGCTATGTCTGTCTTAATGTATATATGTATATGAGAGAGATCTAAAGAGGGGAAACTGCTTCCCCACAGCACAACACAGTGTTGTGGCACTGTTTCTCTCAAAAGGGTGATACTGGTTATCAATTTCAGGTGCTTGTGATGCTAATAATAGCAAAGCTTTGTTCAAATTACAACCACCTCCCCTGTCTATTTTAGTGATGAGCCAGTGCTTTTCCTAGTGACCATGTCGGATCCAGTCATTCACACTCAAACCTGCCTAGGAGCTTCCCTTTGGGAAACCTCATGTTCAGTGAGTCTGATGTTTTGCACTATGCCATGGTCATAAGCACTCCAATAAAAGCATTCATTGGTCATAGAGGTTCCTGATGTAATTGTGCAGAGAGGTTGGAATTGAGTGACGTGCTTTTAATTGGGGAACTAATAGAGCGAATAAAAAGAAAAGGTCAAGAAGAGCTTAACCCAGAGTTAATCAGAATAGAAGGTGGCACTGGGCTTGGACATTGATTTACATCGACGTGTTGGAAGAGGTACTCTTCTGTTGAAGCCGTGTCCTGCTCTGCATGTGACAATCACAAGAACATCTTCCAGAATGAGCTCACTAGGAGATTTTTATCTCTTTTCTGGATCCTGGCTGGGTCGATGAAAAAAAAGGCTTGGCTGTGGGGACTGGTAGTGCTCTCATTGTAGAGAGAAGCATTGTAGAAAGATGTCTGGAGACGTTAAAAATTAAAGGAAGTGGAGTATGGTATGGAGTATGGTTTAACTGTCTCCAAGGGTTTGGCAACAGTTGTATGTACATGTGGGTATTCAGCCAGTTTTCCCTCAGTTCTGTTTGAAGCATCTAAAACCTTAAATGAAAAAACATTAGACTGTCTCCTTTGGGCATGCAAATTTAAATAGTATAGCAGACAAAAATAATTATGAATAATGAGGGAAAATTAACAAAGAGGAAGGGAGAGATTCTTTGCAATTAAGAAAGAAGACCATGGATTCAGGATACTGGACAGTTATGACACAATATTTGTGTGTGAACCCAGGGCAGTCACTTAGCCTTTCTGTCTCCATATTTACATCTGTAAAATGGAGATAAAACTATTTGTGACAGATTTGAAGATCCTTGGAAAGCACTTTGAGAGACCTTTGGACTTGCCAAGTATTGTCACGTCTTTATTATGTAGAGTAACTCAAAAAAGTAGAAGGCCATAGATGAGAGACTCCAAAAGGTTATTTCACAGAAGTGAGGAAGGGACTAGAGTTCAATATCAGACCGAGGTGCATTGGTAGAGATAATAAAGAGATGGCAGACGTGTAACTGCAGCTGGACCTTGTAGATTTCATTAAAATGTAAAAAGGGAGAATGGAAAAAAATGTTGAGAGCTTTCTGCAGATGTTTTGCTCAGGAGGGAAGCATATTAAGACACGTGCACTGCAGTAGCAGTAGCCATGCCCTTCCCAGAAGCAGTGGGTAAGCTGGAGCTCTCTGGCTGTTTGCTAATCTGAAATCATTTGGTGGGAAGGGGCTATTGATTCTAGGTGAAAGAAGGGGGAGGATGCTACCCACTGCAACACAAAGCATGTTTATCCAATAGGCTGATGACTCACGAAAGATAACATGTTATCCTAATGCTTCCTCTATTATCAAGTTATTTCAACACTATAATAAAAGGAGATTGTCCTGCTGCTTTATCAGGAGCCTTTACTTTAACCCGTACTGTGTGTACACCCATGCAACCAATAACACAAACCTAAGTACAAAAATATCGGAACAGGTTAAGGTCAGACTCAGGATCAAATAGGAATAATAATAGTACTAATTATTATTTAGTATTATTGGGAGGGGGTGGGCGTGTCTGAATCTTCGTTTTTCCAAATGTCCCGTCTTTTAGATATAAGCTGCTTCACAAGCTGACTTGGTTCGCAAGGGGTTTTTTTTGTAACTGGAACCATTATACAACAAATATCTGGCTCTGTTGTGCTCTGACAGAGGTTTTTATTCAAAGTACTGGCAGCGAGTACCTCCTATCAGGATACAACGACGTTCTGAAGTGGGGTGGAGGGGAAAGAGAAATCTTCAAAGTGCGAGACATTTTATTAAGGAAAGGCTAAGAATATCACATCTCTGTCAAGTGTTTAGTCACACAAATTATAGTAATATCAAAAGGTATAATTTATGCAGTACAATTCTCTTAATTGGCACAGACTCTGGCAGAGCCAGAAAGGTGCCACTTGAGCAATTGTCCTGATTATCAGAGACTCATAGGAATACACTTTTCAAATCTACATAAGAGGTGGAAGAAAACTAGTAGGTCAGCATCTTTATCCTCCTCTGTCAATGCAGGATAATTCCCTGCAGTATTCTTTCTATCTCTAAATTACTCATGTGATAAGGTTTATGCCACTTTCCTTGAAGACTGTTTCCCGGTCTAATAGATTTCATTGTTAATTCACTATAAACTGTCCTCTGCTTAATTTCCTCACTTCTCTCCAATTTACATATTACCCCTTATTATTGCTCTGAAATTAAACCCTCTCTTTCTCTTCAGTGTCCTCCATCAGTCACCTCTTCACCCACCATTTTGCCAACCAAAACACTACAGAGCAAATGTCTAAGAAATGGTCACTGGGGGTTCTGGGTGCCCCATTTTTCTGGTGACTGATCTGCTGTACCTCAAGGAGCCCTATTAAGCCCTTTTAAGTTGTTTGTGAGTTGTTCACCTAAAAACTGGGGAGCGTGGGGTAGATAGTTGTGCAGAAAACATGCCCTAAGTCTCTGTTCTGATGAGCACTTACTGCTCCAGTAGACACAAGTCAGACATGTGGGCAACGAGCAGGACTCTGAATTCTGCTACCCCTTCAGCTTCCAAAGAGACTGTAGCTCTAGCAGAAAATTCTTTTTTTTTCCTGGAATTTCTGATAAAAATAAGTGTTAACACTGTCAACTTCAATGTGGCTTATTTAGGAGTCATGATGAGTAATAGAGCCAGTGGAAAGATGCTGTAGCTCAGGAGTTTGTCCACCATCGAGTCAGAGTATTAAAACTTCTTTAGCAGACCATACTGTTTGCACAGGTGAGGGATGCCATTTTCTGCACAGCTAGCAGTCCAGTCTGAAATTTCCTCTTTGGCAGTCATCCCAGTTAAATTAATCTGTTATATATCAGGATATAGGATTGCTTTAAAGAAAATAAAATGGATCGACTCTGCTTCCAGTGAGAAGAAAGACATTGCAAGAATCAAATGCTTTTATTTCTTCATGAAAGGTGCCTAGTCTGGATGGAGCACTAGTGTCACTCTAGATCATAGAATCATAGAATGGTTTGGGTTGGAAGGGACCATAAAGATCATCTAGTCCCAACCCCCCTGCCAGGGGCAGGGCCAGCTTCCACTAGCCCAGGTTGCCCAAAGCCCCGTCCAACCTGGCCTTGAACCCTTCCAGGGAGGGGGCAGCCACAGCTTCTCTGGGAAACCTGTCCCAGTGCTGTGCATCTCTTCTGCAGTAACTGGAAGATTTTGGAAGCACAGAGCATCACAGTCCATCTTTGTACCACAAACCTAAGGGACAAAGTGCATAATTGTACAGAGGGTTGTTTGAAAATGCTGTTAATTGGGGTTCTCTGCTAACTCTGTGTAAGCAAAGCACTTCTGATGTGGTGTGGTCATGGCCTGTTGCTAGAGACCCTGCTCAGAAAGCGTGGGTTTCCTCGCAGACGGCTTTTTCCCAGTGACCAGCTTGCAAGGCTACAGGTCAAATAGGTCCCACCCTCCCAGCTTCAGATACCCTCAGCAGAAGCACGGGTGTCGAGGAGGGTGGGCACAGAGGCTTTCAGGAGCACTGAGCTGTAGTACTTGCCAGTAGCAGGCTGCATGTGAGTCCGTTTGACTGTGCAACCCTTGTGCTAAAGTGATCCTGATGCCAAAGTCGTGTTTATTTGTTTTCAGTCCCATTCGGTGAAGTGCCGAGCTGCATGCACTGCTGTCGTTGTCAGTGTCATATAATACCAACGACTTTCAGAAAGCACTAATGAACAAGTGCAATTTCTTTTCTCTATTGTTGGGTTTTTTGTAAAGTTGCTCAAATGCTCTCAGGTATGGCGGCCCTGAATGGAGGACTCGGCGCAACAGGCTTGACGAACGGTACGGCCGGCACGATGGACGCGCTCACCCAGGCCTACTCAGGAATCCAGCAGTACGCTGCCGCCGCGCTGCCGACGTTGTACAGTCAGAGCTTGTTGCAACAGCAAAGCGCCGCGGGCAGCCAGAAGGAAGGTAAGCGCCCGCCACCAGCACAGCAAGCCCCATGCCCACCACACTGCCTACGGCCAAACGAAAACGGGGTCGTGGGCTTGTTTCTTCATGGCTTAACAATAGACCTCGAGTAGCTTAATCTTTATTTCTTCAGTTTTCTCTTGTTTAACGTTGTTACTTTCTTTAACCTCTAATTTGATTCATTTTTTAACCATCTCTCATTCAAATTAGACCATCCTTTCACATATAAAAGCATTTACCAACTGCCACGTAAAAAGGCACTGGTAACAAAATCCATCCCTTTATGGGTGCCAATCTCTTCTGGTTTCCATTTTCTGCGATAATGGAGTTAATCTGATTAGGTTTAAGATTTTGAGTTAATGACAAGATCCGTTTTTGCTTTGAGTGGTTCTTTGCTTAATTGTGGGTCTTGTGGGGAAGCAACTAAGTGAATGATTGCCCCCCTCTCCCCGCGCCAACAGCAAATAAACCTCAGGAAGTTACTGCTAAGAATAAATGAATACTAATTGCAAGATGTTTAGGAAAATGAGGTTACCTTTTTCCCCTCTTCCGTTCCCCTGCACGCTTCCCAGACATTTTGGGGGTTTGTTTCTTCTGTTTCCTTTGCTTTCCGTCATCCTAATTTCCAGCTAATGCTAGGACAGGAAAATATTGCATGCTTTGTAAGATTGTATCTTGAGTTGTCACTACTGTTCTTGCCGGGGCTAAGCTTTGGAAATAAACCTAGTATAATATCCTCAAGAGAATTTTTTTTTTAATTCTCTTTTAAAATAGTATCTTGTACTGGGAAGTGTTTCCTAGGAAGACAAATCTGGCATTCCCCCAGCTGGCTATTGTAGAGAGACATGGTGTTAAAATGTATATTTTCTCTGAATTCTTTTATTCATTTACTGCTAACAGCTTGGATTATTTAAAGTGAAGGGGGGATTTTTAATTCACTTTTTTCCCTTCATTTTTTCATGTTCTCTACATTTTTCTTTCATCTCATTCACTGGTCATTGATAACAGACCATTTGACACCAGAAAATGTTTATTTGGTGTCATTGTAAGATACATATCATAGGACAGTTCGATTTTTTCCTATTTTAATCTTTTATATTTATGAACATTCCTATCAAGTGTAAGCTTACTTTTTATTATGATGAAAAGTGTTCCTTTTAAAATACAGGGGTTTTTTGTTATATGTCTTGTTTCTGTTAGTAAGGGGTTAAGTTAAAGTGAGTAAATTCCATCACTGAATACTGACAACTATGTTTTGTCTCTTAACATGATTTCTGATGGAATGGTGAAGAGTCTGGAGTGGCTGAGGATAAACATGTACCAGAGAAAAATGATATATAAATATTAAATGCTGAAGCACAGTGAACTGCCTCATGCATATGCTCTAAACTATTGTTTAATAAGTTTTTCACACTATTTTAAGAAATACTATTTTCTGGACAAGATAGTTTACTTGCAGTAAGCAGAAATAAGTTCTAGGTGGCCAATTTTTCCCCTTTTTTTTTTTCAACCCCCCAAAAAATGCTCTTCCTTTTAAAAACATTTTATTTTTCTAACGTTTTATCCCCTCCTTTTGGGCAAGCATAACAACCTTTTCCCTCAGGCTGAGAGAGCTAGCCTGGTTCTTCTGTATGGGAGAGATGAGGATTTGTGACTGTTGCAGAAGGTACTCCTTAAATCTGATGCACACGTTCCTCTTCATCTCCAGAAAACCAAGGACATACTTAGGTTCCACTAAGCAAGGGAATACTTAAACAAGTTATTCTAAATGTTTCTACCAGAAATGGTACCTCTTATGCTCCTGGTGTCAGCACAGGAAGGCCACATGTCTAACTCCATCATACATCATGTTTTTTCAGGCATCCTTTGCTCAGTTCCAGCATGTTGTAAAGGAGAAATTGATCTAGGGGAAAAAATAACCTATTAGTACTAGGATGAGTGTTTAAACCAACAGCACGAATAATGTGTGTCTCAAATTTTGGCTGTAAGAAAAATATTCAAAGCACCTTTGAGATTGCATCTTCCTTTGCAACCTCAGCTTTGTCTAAAGCCACTTTAATTTCAACCCAACGACTTTATTTTGAACTTTGTAAAAAAACTTACTTTGCAAAGTTTCTTTCAGGAGATAGAGCTTTCTACGGGGAATTTGATTAAAAAAAAAAAAAAAAAAACAACTGTCATTTTGAAATTAGTCAGTACAAATTTAATTCTGAGTATCTTTCTCTCTCTGACTTCCCTGATTTCCAAGTCACAAGATTTGCTTTCTCTTATCCTTTTTATTCCCACCTCCACCAGTTTCCTTCCCTTTGAGTTCATATCTGTGATACTCAATCTGAGGTCAGCTCATTGCATTTCCGTAAGTTCCTTGTTGCAGATGGAGTGACACACTTCACTCATAAGAGAGATGTAGCAATATGTTTATTGACGTAAACCAGCGATTTAACAAAGTTTGACAGTAAATGTGATGATGGTTTAAGATTTGATAGCAAGGTACACTTGATTATTAACTGCATAGAGGACAGGGTTAGACAAAACTCTCAGGGACACCCTCCCGTTGGGTCAGGAGGTTCAGAAAGGATTCCCTTGCATTCTAAACTCCTTCTCAGAGGAGAGTTCAGGTGTGGCTGAATCCAGACTTAGAACTAGACTTGGTCAACACCTTATGTCTAAAGGATTATATGTGCACAATCAATCCTTTCTATCAGTTAGGATTTCAATATTTAGCATGCTATTAATCACTTACTGAGAATCTGTTGAGGCAAGGACTCTCTCAGCCTCGAGGAGTAACCTTAAGAGGCATCCCTACTCAAGGGGAGATTTGACATGCTGCCCACTGCCTTGCAGGAGAGCTCAGTGGGCCCTGGGCTGTTCACTAATTATGGAGTAAGATAATTGACTTGTAGTCATATTTACCGACTGCGGGTCTTAGTTTCTTCCAGATTTGGCTTGAGTGAGACACTGGCCAGCACTGAGGTTGGGTTGACATGTTGCTCAAATTAACCCTTGACTGCTGTGGTGTTACCTGTCTCTCCCAAATCTACCTTGAGCAGGATGTAGCCGTCATGATCAGACGCAGCCATTAAAACCTGGTGGTTGTCACGTGAGTAGGCAGGTTGGGGTCACGAGGGAACACACCACCACATTCCCACAACTAGAATTAAACCAACAAACCCAGGCAGGTGTTTGAGGCAGCAGAGAACTCCTTGTGCAGTTCTTGGGGTAATGTGAGAGAGTAGTACATTGTGTACCTGTTTTCCTAACCTTAATTATACCGAAAGGCACTCGTGTGAACTGAAGAAAGAGGCTGCAGTTTAACTTCTGTAGTAGAGTTACCAGGTAAACACTTTTCAAGATAGGATGCTCTAAAGAGCTGCATGTCAGCTCTGTTCCTTTGATGATCCATTTGCTTTTGTTCCTTCAAAGTTGGAAAGTGAAATGCTTTCTGACCATCACCTTCAGTAAGTATTATGGAAAAATAGATTAAATATAGCACTTGTAATAGCTGTTTTCATACTTTTGTTTTGTTTTGTTTTCCTAAAGGTCCAGAAGGGGCAAACCTCTTTATTTACCACCTCCCCCAGGAGTTTGGAGATCAGGACATTCTGCAGATGTTCATGCCTTTTGGAAATGTTATCTCTGCTAAAGTCTTCATTGACAAACAGACCAATCTGAGCAAGTGCTTTGGTATGTCAAATTTAATAAATCGAATAGTAAAAACCACATGCACTGTACTGAAAAGGGGCCAGGAAAGAAAATTAATGGCAATGTGAGAAATGTCATACTGGAATCTCATTCCAAAAATAATGGACTGCTAATCCTCAAATAAGCGGGAAGAAGGACAGACAAACTAGTTCTAACTAAAAATTGGATATGAAAAAACAATAATAATCTTCCAGTCTGACATCTCGCATGAATGTGTCAAGTACGTGAAACTAATTACACCCTATGTGGGGGAATGTCATTTAGTATACTATTAAACTGCCTTATTATGGATACCTAATTATTCTCTATTGTATAGCTGAGCCACTTAAAAATGCTCTATGTTTAACCCATTACTTCTACATTACAGGAATTTCTTTCTTCTGAATTAAGTACAAGATTTTGCAATTAGTGATTGAATGATGTGTACATGTAGTTCAGAATGCTTTACAGACAGTTGATGTCTAGATGTGCAGCCCCAGCTGTTGCAGGCAGGCACCAGTATATTATGTAAGGTAGCATCTCCCCTTACCTCAGGGCAGGTACGAAGGGAGCCTTAAAAGATGAGTGTCAAGCTTCCCAGAGAACACTTTGAGCTGCCAGTGAATTAGATCACGACAGAGGAGAAGATGATATGTTGGTATAAAACAAGTTCTAGGGTTGATTAAGTGGGCTGATGTCTTCTGAATAGCACAGATGCACCAGTTCAGTGCTTTGATGGAGTGGAGTACAGAATGTAAGCAAGTGGCAATCTGTTAAAGCATTAGTCTAATAATTGTGGTCTTACGCAAGGCATGAGGAGGCTGTAGGAAGAGGAAAGAATCTCTTAAAGATAGGTTTTATATGGGAGCTTCCATAAAATTGACAATTCTTTCCCAGAGTAAAGGAATGCAACTGTATGTATGACAAAAGAGTAACGAGTCCAGACAATCCCCTAGTTTACAAAACTCCTTTGTGTTGCTCTTTACCCAGCACCACCCCTTAATTCTGAAGTGTCCCCATGATACATGTTTCTTAGCTTGCATATCATGACTCTTTTTTTAAATCTAGATTTTGTTAAAATGTGTTTGTCTAAGGATTTGGCTCCACCAGGGCCATTCAGGGACCCCACAGCTATTTGGCTATCTTGAAAAGGTTTGAATTTATCTAAACAGACAGTACCCAAACAGGAGGAAAATTCAAGTTACTCAGAAATATCTACTGGACTGAAATTCAAGCCTTCCCACAATCTGAGTGTTTTTCACCTGAAGATGAGCCCTTAGTACACTTGGAAAGTTCATTTGGTTCAGAGAAAGGCTGTGACATTCATTCTACATTTTTCCATAGTCTTTCATTTCATTTTTGAAGCATTCACTTCTTTAAACTTTACAAAAAGTTGTTTATATCTAAAGTAATACAGTCCAGCATGTTTCTGCAATGGGTTAAAACAGCCCCTGAAACTGTAGCAAATTTGAAAAGCAGAACTGGAATGGGCTCCCTATTGATCTGGAGCTAGTTCAGTTAGTATGTTGGGGTGACAAAATCCTTGTTGAGGTGTCCAGGAATCTTGAAGAAATGTCAAATCAAGCTACGTTAATCAGAATGCAACAGTTGTGGTGACTGCTGAAAGAATGTAGATTAGTTTGGGCAGGCGGCTCAATTCATGAGTTGGCTTCCCACGCTTTCTTTTTGTGGGTTTCCCTTTAGATTACCTACCTACGCATTTGTCTGAATTTATGGGACATAACTACCTAACTTAGAGTGGTGCACCAAGGTTATCTTATTTGAGGGAAAAAGGGGGGGTCAACACCCAATGGATGGAGGAGCCCTCTGTCTTTTTGGCACTAGTCAGCTTTCACTAACATTTCAATTTCTCATTCTTCCTCCCCAGATATTCTGCCAGCAGTGAGAGAGTTCTGCTTTAAAAAAACAAAAAGAACTGCAGTGGCAGAGGAGGTTAAGATTTTCTGATTCAGTAGGTGACTACTTGGTGATGCTGCTAATCACAGACAAAGCCAGAATTAATCCTGCTAGTTTAACATACTAGCATACTCTGTACGTACCTCCTCAGCTTTATTAGCAAGAATTGTATTATTTGTTGTTTTGATCCCATATAATTTTTTTTTAAAAGCTTTATTTTTTCTCTGTCCTCCAACCCCAAACTAGCACAATAGTGCATCATTTCTCTCCTGTATCATTAGTGGTCATTGCTCTTGGTACAGTTTGGGTTTGGGTTTTTTTTGTTTGGTTGGTTTGGTCTTTTTTTTTTCCCTTGTAATAATAACAGTAACAATGTTTTGCACATGTCTGGTGCTTTCTACTCTGGAGTTTTCAGTCTCCTACCTTTAGGAGGTGGAGGTCAATTTACAGATGAGGACAGGGAGAACACCAGAAAAGTGAAAATATTGTCCAAGGCTGTCCACTGGCAGAACTGGAAAGGGAAAGTGCATTCTGAGTGCGTTGCAGGGTAGCGATATACAATGATGAACTTTTAAATAACCCTGCCTCTGAAAATGAAAAATTACTTTTCTTTACAGAAAATGGACTTTACCATTATTTGCTTTCTTGTCCAACTCGAATGAATGCTCAAAAGATTAAATGGTGATGAGGATGACAGGACAGTCTGTTTATCCCTGGAAGTGCTCTTCCCTGAGTTCTCATGAGCTCTAGTTGATTCAGTAGACAAAGAGTTTCACTTTTCAAGCTTAGCTCTCACCTTCCATGAACCATAGAATAACGGAAATGAGAGATGTAAAAGTAAGGGAGGGGAGGGGGGACCCAATTACATCAGCGGAGTCATGTCAACAAGGAAGATCCTCTAGAAGAAAATAGGGGAAAGAAAGAAAGAAAAGAAGAGAGTGATGAAGCTCCTTGGGATATGGCAGTAATATTAAGGTGAAATGATCTAGTGGAGAAAGTGAAGAAGTGACAAGAGTTTCTAAAACCAAGAAAGCTATGGAGGAACATTTATTATCCCTTAAGGAGGTAACAAGTAATCAACCAGAGAACAACATGAACAGAGTATATTGGCTTTAGCCAGGAGAAGGTCTGCAGAGATTTAAGTGAGAGGTGGTTTTGAGTGGAAGAAACAGAAGTTAGCCTCAATTGTCAGAGAAGAGTCTTAAGTTAAATAGTTTGGTGAAGTTGTTTCAAGGTGAAACCATAGGGATAGTCTGTGAAGGAGAGCAGCTGGACAAGGACCAGATAACTTGATAAGAGGGGGTTTTTTCTTTACGATGGGGAAAGTGTATAATTCTGACACTGAAGATGGAAGAGGGCAGCAGTGCAAGGTAAGCAAGACACATAAAAGAACAGGTTAAAATGATGGTAAAAAGAGGTTATGCATCAGAAAAGTGTGCAAGCACTATGCACAAATGAAGACGGCTGGTAGAAGAGAGGCACTGAGAAGCCTGTGTGTTAGGACTGAAAACAAAGTGTGTGGGATCCATGCTTTAACAGAGTGAAGTGATATGTGTTAAGGCAAATTCAAGTGGAAAGAAGAGGGAACATTTCAAAGCAGATGCATAATAGCAGGCTGAATACAGTAGTAATTAGCCAGAGCTGAGGCAGAGCAGCACTTAGACGAGCTTTGCAATTACAAGTGGGAGGCCCACATATGAAAATGAATTTTGAGCTTCCAGAATCAGGGAGATTTGAGTCCATTATGAACAGAGCATTTTTAGTCTCCCGGGAAAAAGAAAGCTGAGCCAGGCCAGCCATTCTGAATTACCCGAGCAAGCATTATCCCCCTAGTTAGTGCTTGCAACCGAGGAGCAGAAGATCTGGAGTTCTCATCAAGCCCTGCCATTGTCTTTACAATGCTGCTTAATTTTGATGCTTGCATACCCCTTTGGGGACCAAGAGGCTGAATTAATTAACATTTAATGTACCTTGAGATCTTGAACTGGAAGGAGCTGAAAAATACACAGTATTAATACCGCAACTGTCGTAGGCTAAGCCCAAAGAGATGAACATTTTGTCACACACAGAACCAGTGCACGTGAACTCACCTTCAGGTGTGCAAATGTGTATAGGCATTGCTACGTTGGGGTTTTGTTTCTGTAACCAGGCTTTCTGTTTCAGCTTCACACCTGCAGACTGGCCTAATAGTACTTCCTAATAGACTGGGAGGTATGTAGGTATTACACTGAAAAGTGTCACAGTAATAAATATCGTCAGTCTCTAAGGTAGGTAGATAAACAACAGATTGGAATCTGCATTGCACCAAAACTGGCCAACTGCATCCCAGCTAGTAAAGAAATATTGTGAAGGTAAAGGGGAAGGCAAAGGAAACTGGAGAGGAAATGGGATACGAAGTGTGATCAAAGAACTAATTGAAAGTGAGGTGAATGTGTCAAATAAACAGTAGTAATAAAATCCTAACAAAACGCCTTCTGACATTTGTTCTAACCTATAGTTCGCTTTCTCTCCCGCCTCCGTTCTGTGTCTCGTAGGTTTTGTTAGCTATGACAATCCAGTCTCTGCACAAGCTGCTATCCAGGCTATGAACGGCTTTCAGATTGGCATGAAACGCTTGAAGGTTCAGCTGAAACGCTCCAAAAATGACAGCAAACCTTACTGATCTTAACCCCAGATGCTTACTGCTCTTATTTTAGCTTTCTTAGGGTAAGTCCCATGAGCAAACCTGTCCTCTGCAGGGGGGTTAAGAAAGAACATAGAGCCAACCTTCACCAAGAGACAGTTATTTTTACAGTTACCACTTCCATTTCCCCACTCGTCCTTATTACACTTGGCTCCCATTTCCTTGCCAAGTAATTACTGAGTTGTGTTACTGTATTTTGTTTTGCAGCATAATTTATCTCCTTTTTAAAACAAAAAAAAAAAATGTCTTGAAATTCAAAGCAACACACACACACAAACACACAAAAAAAATGTGCAATTTAACTCTGTGAACCCTGGTGCCATTAGCACACAATAAAAGTTGTTTTCTATGGATGGAACGTATTTTACCAGGGTGGCACCAGCAGTTTATAGGTTAAACAAAATGGCCTCATGCCAGTTGAAGCACTTATTTTGCAACACAAATTGAAACAAGTCTTTCCACTACATCAACTTGTTTTTTGAGAAGATTTGATTCTTTTTTTTTTTTTTCAGTTCAAATCAACGTATTGTTATATATTAGTCTGATTTTACACTGGTCGTCTTTATATTTCACTTTTTTTTAAGTTCTTGTTTTTTTGGAAAGGATTAATGTAAAAAAGATTTAGAGATCTGTTTCTAAAGCTACAGGGTTTAAAATAAAAAAATAAAATAAAATGAGTGACAATACTTGATGTTTCTTGAGAGATAAATTTAATAATAATAAAAAAAAGAAAGCCACAGGCCTGTAAATTTTATTTGTAAAAAGCATTTCTATTTTTATACAAAATTTTTACTGCCTCAGAAATAATGGAAGTTATTTATTGCCTATTGTTAACTTATTGGATACCTAAAGAGCAGCTCTCTATGCTAGCTAGATCCTTTGAAGTAGTCTCTAGAGTAATTGTGCCAAGAATGGGCGCTTTTTCACTGTTGAACCCTACACCCTTTACAGTTCATGCTTTTATCCTCTTGTTTGTATTTGTCTGGTTATTTTGTTCGTAGTTTCCATTACCTAGTTTAAAGTTAAGTTGTCTGACCTTTTTTTCCCCCCTCCCCGTACCTTTCTGTTACATTTGTAGAAACTGGTTCTTTCCTCTCTTTTCTCCCCAAAGAGGAATCCATTCTCTCTGACTCCTTTCAGATGGATTCTGTTGGGGTTCCATTGTGCTCTTGTTGACAAGTATTGTAAGTTAATGCAAATTATGTGAACGGCTCATAGACTCTACTGATAAAAGATTTGCATTAGTTTTCTCCTGCACCCATAAAAGTGATTTTGTTTGTGCTGCATAGATTCTGTGTAACTTTTTTTCCTCTTCCTTGTTTTTTCCCTAGACATCTCCATGCCCGTTAGCCCATCGTTTGCCTAGCATGTCCCTGTGGCGTCTCAAAAAAAAAAAAAAGTTTCATCGTCCCGTCATTGTTTCTGATGTCTTTCTGACCTCACATCATATTTGGTTCTCCTACTGACCTTTGATCTAGTTTGACCTTTGAAATTTGCATGTGACCTCATCTAGCTATGAATTCTGGGAAGTCAATGTGAAAAAACATTGCTGCATTCATGCAAGACTGAAATTTATTATTAGATAAATTAATGATAGGATTTAAAAACAACCTGTGGCAAAATGTTTTTTCTTTCTTTCCTTTTTTTGGTTTTCTTTTTTCCTTTGGGTTTTTTTGTTTGGGTTTTTTGTTTTGGTTTTTCTTTCATTTCGTAAAAAAAAAAATAAAAAAAAAACAGACTTGAAAGTATTATACAGGGATTGGCATTCTGCCTGGTCACTGGTGACAATAGCAATATGTGTCCAGAGGCACAGAATGTTGGTTTCTAACAGACTACTTCCAAAACAGTTTGAGAAATAAAACTGTCTGATTTTAAGTCTCTAGAGGTCTGTAATAGTTTTTACATTTTTCAGGCAGTGTAAAGTTTTTTGATAAGGCCATTTTAGGTGGCTCACTTTCTCATTAAAGTATATATATAGAACCACTTTTTGTAGATTAGTATAAGAAAATATTTACCCTGTTTTAGGGCAAATGCTACCTACTTGTGTCACCTTTTGCTGAACTGACTCACAGTTAGACAATCCATGGTTTAATGCACATGAAATTACCTATATTTTATACTGTTTCAATGTACAGAAGAAAGGTTACTGTAAAATGTGTTACGTTGGTGCTTCTGTGAATTAAGTTGTGGTTTCATCATGAGTCTTATGGTCTTAAGTGTTCTATGTTTATAAAAGACAAGTTTAAAATTGGTTTACTTGAACAACAAGAACAAAAACAAGATTCAAAAAAAAAACACAAAAAAAAAAAGTTGTTTGCTTAAAAAAAAAAAAAAAATTTCATGTGAAAAATGAAAAAATATTCCAGAATAAGTTTGTGTTGGCTTGTGACGCATTGATGTCATTTTTTTATTGTGAACAATTTAGATGTGTTTGTGTTCAGCAAAATGTGATCGGTTTTTCTTTTAAAGAAAAAAAAAAATCAGTGAAACTATAGTGCCAAATTCCAAAGGTACTTTCTTCCTAGAGCTTCAGTGTGTTTCTTGTGTGAAGTAATTTGATAACATGGGTATTTTATTATGTGTTTTGTATAAATCCCTAATATTTAAAGAAAAAAAGAGGTTAAAAAGTTTGTTAACTTGCTATCCTGTGGTCTTGTTGCCTGAAATTGTTATTGTTTGTTATTTCTCTTTGATGTTTTTTGTAAAACATTGTATAAGTGCCCATGTTTCACTTTTTTAACCACTCTGCACACATCAATGCTGTGAAAGCAAACCTCACTATGTATTTTCTTCATATTGTATGGAAACCTCTAAGGTGAGAAAGTTTTGAACTTTTAACCCTTTCCACCCAGAGCTGTCTTGAGTGTTAATACCTTTTATACATTCACCATTTTGCTGTTTATTTTTATATATATATCTATATCTATAAATATATATATACTTAGTTTTTTGTGGTTTATTTAATACATGGTTGAAATCAGAACAATGCACAGGGCAGATCTGAAGGACAAAAATATTTTACTGCTGTCTAAATTTCTTCTGTATCTATAACTAAAATTATTTAAAACAGTAATTAACTTGTGGTTTTCCTTTTTAGATTTTGGGGATTTTGTCTTTTCTTAAAGAGCTTTTAATATGCTGCTGGAATATGCTATTCAGTATTAATAAAATAAAAGAAAAAGAAAACAATTCTTTAATTATCTATTGTGTGAGCCACTCCCCGACAGGAGTGGTTAATCCACCATTTGAAAACCTTGAGGAGAAAAAAAAAAAAATATTTTTGTAATTTAAATAAATGAACTTTTGCTTAAATCAGATGCACTAGATCTTCCTGGGTGAAAATTCAATGTGCACTGCAGTTAAACTACTTTTTATGGATAAAGTTTACATACACTGTAATGTTTGGTGTTATCTGCCATTATTTGTAACGGCAATATATTGGCTTACTCCTGCAGACACTCGTATAGAGAGGAGTAACTTTACTCGTACAAGTAGTCCATGGGAATTATATATGTGACTGATGTGGGTGTTTGCTGGAGGAAGCTCTGTGTAAGGAACCAGAAAAAAGATGCTGGTAGCCCTTTTCACTGCCTTGTAAGTCTGATTAGATTGCATTTCTACCGCACAAGTAGTGACCAACAACCAGATTCGGTTCTTTGCTACCGGTATTAGAGAATCCATTGCCAATCTGATGCGTGTGAGCAGCAGTACCTGCTACTGATGATAAAGTGCCATACCTTCTTCCACTTCCTATTTCTATCTGATTATATTCAAAGCCGCCTAAAATTCAAAATGAAGCCCTATATGAACAACATCAGCTGGTGCACTCTTGTCTCTCATCCCCAACTTAAATGCTTCTTTATGTAGAGCCCTGGGATGGAAAGGACTAGCCTCTAGTGATGCAAAAAAGTTTCCTTCTTATAGCACATGCACTTATAAATAAATGATCTATACTTTTCTCACATTTTTACTACTGCTGGGGCCTTCCTACACCCTTTGAGGGCTATTTTGTACTACTTGCAGCAATTTTGCATATTCGAAGTATCATCTCACGTACATTATATTATATATATGTACATATATATATAATATGAGATCATCATTTGGATTGTTTAGACTGTTTCACTAATTTTTCTCACTGTACCCACCATATAAATTTCCAAAGCTTTTTTAGATGCCCTAGTGTGTGTTCTGCGGGTTTACCAGTCCAGTTAGAGCGGTGATGCCTTTGGTCCTCAGGCAGTGTAACTCGGCATCAGGCTGCCCAGAATTACTCTATATGGGACATTGGCTTAGCAGTGGGAGAAGAGGAATGTTTCTGTACTTTCAGGCAACTGAGATGGGTCATTGCTGAAAAAAGTGTCCATCTTGAAATCAGATTAAAAAAAAAATAAAATTTAAAAAAAAAAAAAAAATCAAGTACTAAACCAAAAACCCAAACATACACCTCCTTGGAGACAAATTATCTACCAGTCCTCTTTCAAAATATTGAAAGGAAAAAGCTGCAAGGGTGCAAGGGCCTAATAAGAGAGGAAGAAAAACAAGGGAAATTGCTTTACAAAATTCTAATCAAAAGACTAGACTAGTTGTTTTTTCAAACAAATTAGCTAATTGCGATGAAATGGCAGTCCTCAAAGGAGTAACAAGTTCATCTTTCTTTCACCATAGGGGTTACAGTTCCTTGGCTTGTGCTACTCTGGAATCATTTTACTGTTTCTGTTTTTATTATCTTAAGTGCTAATTAACAAAAGGAAAAAATATCCTGTAGTTTCATTACCTTTTTGGATAATGTCATACAAAAAAAACAAAAAAACAAAAAAACAAAAAAACTATGTATTTGTGTTTTTTTTGTGCTGTGAGAATTGTTGTTTGTAGATTAATAATACTATCATTTTGTTTAGAATTACAAACTAGTTTTTAAGTATTGTCTGAGAAAAGCCAAAGTTAATGCAATCTAGTGGAAACTGTAAGACCATTTGAGTATTGTTTCTGTTTTATTGATGCATTTGGATTTTGTTGTTTGATGGAATTTGAGCCAAAAAAAAAGGAAAAAAAAAAAAAAGAAAAAAAAAACAAGCAGGCTTTCCTATTTCTACAACTTGATTGTACTTATGCATTTTGTACCAGTGGAACTTTTTATACTGGAGATTAAAAAACAAATGGAAATTTTTGTGGCTTACTCTTGTGGGCCCCCTCGATCATGACTGATTTTCAAGTTTGATTTCTGGACGGTAGAAAGAGAGTTGGTTTTGTTTAGAGAATTCAAAACTTTGGCTTGATTTCTTTTTTTCCCTTTGCTTATATCTAGTGTTTAGAATTTTGTCTTAACAAAAGCGGTAAGTTTCACTTTTTATTCTGTATCGTGCAGTTACACAATAAGGTAATTAGAATTAGGAGTACTCGGTCACTTTGCGTGGATAAATGTATTAGTTAAAACGTTAGGGGTTTGCTTTTTTGCTGTTTAGATCAGAGTTTTTTCTGATTCTTCTGTCCTCATTGTGAACATAACCGTGTAGTTGAAACAGTCAGACTTATTTTTGTAACGTATGTTATTGTGTGATGCAGTTTTTTGCTTCTGTCTCCAATATTAAACCATTTTCCTAATACTTGTCTCTCTACTTTGTGTGTTGTATTGTTGGTGGTCATTCTGTGTTGGTAATACATCTACACACCTCACTGTTTCACGTGCCTGTTTTTTTTTTTCTCTATTTGTTGGTTGTGTACAAAAGATACAGTCGATTCCACCTAAGTGAATATCTGATTGGGGGGCAAAAGAGGATTTGTATATTTTAGACATGTTATGGTTTCTTTGATATTTTTTTTCTCTCTTCCTCCCCCTAGTCATGCCTTATCACTTGGATAATCTGAGCAGGAAGCATTTTAAATGAGTTTCCTGCAAAGTCATATTGAAGGTAGCTTTTGTTAGCCTTCTAACTGCAAAAGCTTCTGCACACAAACACACAGAAGCCACCTGAAAAGGGGTTGGGTTTTTTTTTTTTGCTGTGACATTTCAGTCAGTCTGGAAAATGCGGATTATGGAGATCAATTCTTCCTAGTCGTTAAAAAAAAAATAATAATAATACTCTGCCGCTACTTCGTAGAAGCATATGAAACGTTCAAGAAAAGGAGGATATAGCCTTGGGATTTCTTCCAAACTGCACAGTAATCTGATGGCATATGGTGTTAGTCAAACTCTCCTTAGAAACTAATCACATCTTAACTAGGGCTGTGAGAGCCTGCAAAAGCCTACCAGGTGATCGAGCTTGTTATGTGCAGTTATACATATAATAATTTAAAAAAATAAAATAAAATCCAAGTGAGCACAGGAAGAAAAAAAAAAAAAAAAAAAAAAAAGCAAAAAGATCCCTTGTTGTTCAAATGGGTGATATTTTTGCTGTGGGCTTACAAAGCAGATCATTCTTAGCATTGGCTAATAGTATTACACAAATCTCAAAAGGGACAAAAGAAATAACATAGCACCTTTTTTCTTATTATCTTTTACAGTTGGCTTTTAGCTTTTTTTATTCTTTCATTTCCTATAATTTTTTTCCTCCTCACGAGAATCTCTCTGCTCTCCCCCAACCGGTGTCTACCACAATGAAATAAAAGCTGCAAAGGAAAAAAAAAATCTATGTTGTTCTGGTTTACAAAAAGTCTCTCTTCTCTCCTCTGTCTGATCGCAGATACAAACCTTACAATTCGGAGAGGGGGAAAAAAAAATAAACAAATCCAACCAAACCAAACCCAAGGAGGAGAGAGCAGCACTGGTGAGTGCTCTCTGGAATTCAAGCCATACGCCCCCGTCCCTTTCCTTTGTCCCACTTTCTGTGATGCTCAGGAATCGAAGACCACTTAGAAGTGCTCTTATGAGACCCAAACGACACTCCTCCCTCTTGTTTCCTCTCCCCTGGTCTTTCTGGCACTCTGGCTTTGGCTCACACACACAAACACACACACACACACACACCCCTCAAGTAATGTCTTACGAGGTCATGGCGCACTGGGTGTTTCCGTGTGGTGTCAGCAGCAACGTTGGCTCCTGCATTTGGAAGAGTTTTGAAATTTTCTGGTGGCTCAAGAGTTGGCCTTGTTGTTATTGCTCGATATATTTTTTAAAAAAACTTTTTTTTTTCTTTTTTCACTTTTCTGTTTCCATGAAAGGCAAATAAGTGATGAATGGAATCCCAAACAAGCTGAAACGTCGTCTTGCAGGGTCTGTTGTCAGAGGTCAGGGGTCCAAGCAACTCTAAATTTAATCTAAATCCAGAGAAGCCTATAGTGGGCAGCCCAGTCAGGAAAGCAGAAACCAATGGTCAGACTATGTCCTGGGTCTCTGACATCTCTATAGAGTTTGTGATCCCAATTTGGATAATTTTGACACCAGTGGATTCAGTTGAGTAAGTCTTGACTTGCATGAATAATGAATCGGAATTGGTCCCTGGGATTTTTACGTTTCTGTGGAAGTTTTGGATTTTTTCTTTTTTGTTTTCCTTTTTTTTTTTTTTCTCCAAACTTGGTCTTAGGAAAGAAACTAGAGCTTTGTGGAGGGTCTTTTCTTCCAAAAATACAACTGAAAAAAAAGACTTATACTGCAGTTGGGTTTCTTTTAAATACTCAGGGCTGAAAGATACAGGTTTGGGTTTTTGTTGGTTTTTTTTTATTTATTTATTTCAACAATGGGGAAAAATGAGTTCCTTAAAGCAATGCAGCTGAACAGTTTGTCCTGCTTAAATGCATGCTTTTAATTTCAATTATGTAAGGCACCTTGCAGTGTTAGCAAAATGTCTCTTTGTTAGCTATATGTGTATCGCCATGGGAAATTACCAAACTGTCACAAGACTTGCTGATTAAAGAATAGCCTGCCAGAGTGTGTGTGCCTTTGCCCAGTGTGACTCTTAGGTATTAGGCTAAGGAAAACAGTTTAACAAAATGTAGTGTGAATCATTCCTGATAAGTGAATAAAGCATTGTGACCAAGCAATCAGATTATTCACTTATCAGGAATCGACTGTACTGATAGTTTGCCTGATCGTTTTTGTTCCTCATCTCTGTTGTAGTTTCACTACTTTGCTGTGTTCTGTTTTTTCTCTCATGCTCTTAGCAAAATCACTGGGAATATCCCTTCGTGTGATCATGAAACATGCTACTGAGTAACAAATAAAAAAAAAAATTTAAAATATAAAAATGATATCTTAACAAAATCTATGCACTTGCTATCAGGAACACAATACTGGATGTGTCTTATATATATTGAACTATAATAGTATTCGATTTCTTAAATAAAGCTTAAGAAAGGATTCTGTTGTCTGTAAAATTTTATGAGCATTAAATGGAAAAAAAAACAAAAACAAAAACAAAGCCATGTTTCTAGGGTTGGGCACTTTTTGTTATATGAAATCTGACTGGGTACACGGTCTTTAACCATGCCCAGGTAAATGTTATATAATTCGCTTGATATTTCATTAATAACAGAGACCTTGAAATTTAGGCTTACTGAAGTGTGTGGGGAGAAAAAGTCTTACCATTCAACGACTTGCAGCAAAAGATACTAAAATGCATAAATTTCTATCTTTTTCTGTATTTGCAAAAGCAAATGTTCTTGCTTTTGCTCTAAAACTAATAGCTAAAATATGTGAATCAGAAAACAATACTACATTGCTTCCACAGACGATGCTATACTTCTTTTTGGTATGTGACTTTTTTTCCTCCTGATTCTAGATAGGTTTAAAATTTTAAAAATGAAACCCCTTATGCTCAAAATCACAAATTCAACACTGGAGGTCAAAGCATCTTTTTGCGGAAGATGTGTGGCTTACTGTACGTTTCCTGTATCTGAGCCTTCTCTTACGAAAACATTTTCACATCAAAACCCATGAACTAAATGGGAATTGAATAGCTAGAACTGTTGACTACACTGAAAACTTTATTCCTTCGATGGCTGTACATTCGCCACAAAATTGTAGGTTTCGCACAATCAGATTTTTATGGAAATGCCCATACTTCTTGTATTTAGCGAACTTTCAATAATGCCAGCCTTTGGCAGAAAGATCTGGGAGAGTGGTGGGGGTTGCTTTCTTTTTTTTTCTTTTGAACTGCATTACTGCCTCACTTTTCATATGCCATTATATTATCTGAAAAAAAAAAAAAAAAAAAATTAAATTGTGGAAATCTATCTGCTGCTGCTTGTATCATTCTCCTCTATTAATACATATTTAGCAAATGCTATTGAACTTGACATCCAGCGGCCAGGTTTGTTAGATTTGTAAGCCAGAAATACTGCTCCACCAGAGAGGCCATGGAGAGGATTGACCTTGGTGGGCATCGAGATGGTCCTGTCCATCCCACATCTGCACAGAGCTCAGGTGGGGCCCCAGCCCTGGTTTTCAGGGACTGCTGATGTAACACTAATATTAAGTAATAGCAACAATTAGCTCATATTTGTATTCCCTCTGATTTTCCTCATTAGCAGACTTTCTTTTTTTCCATTAAAGGGAGCTGGAAAGTTGCAGTCATTTTCTGAATCATTCGCCCCTGTTGATAACCTAATTGTTTTACATGAATGCTAATATTTCCCTCTCATACATTTATATCTATCAGCTAAATCAGCAGTAAAGTAAACTCTTCTGGGATACATTCCTATATCAATTAGCAAGGATTTATGCTCCAAAGCACCATTAACATTAATGGGAGTGTGCTCTTTAGCATAAACAATTGGTGATAGGTCTGGTGGACTTTATTTCCTAAACAAGGAAGCATCCAAATCTCAGAAACTTGTTTCTTGAAGACGGTGCTTGAGGGAGTGATGTCCCAGCCTCCCCCGGCTGCTCTAGGGACATCTCATTCACAGGACATGCATAAATTGTTGAGTTCCCAGCAAAAAGACAAAGTGTTGGTTTGGAAAGTGAGCTAACTTCTGGCGTTTTCCCTTCTGAAAACCTGCCTGAAAACACACCAGGTAAAATTTTCAGCATTATCTCGCCTCCCTCCAATGATGGCTTGAAAAGTTTCACTCTTGGCTCACCTACGTTTCATGGTGCTGGAGGGTGGAGACCGCAGAGGTGTTGGAGGGAGGGATTTTGGAAGGAGGCAGAAGACCAGAGATGAAGTACTGTGGGAAACTAAGCAGTGGGTTTATAAACTCCCTAAACCAGAGGTTTCACGGCTCCGTGCCTCTGAGAAGGGAGTTAGAGGGGACCAGTAAATCACCAAGTCTCACCTTTCACATGTAGGACAACATCATTTCCCCCTCACCCCATGCTTGATCAAGTCAAAAAACGTGTAATCTTCATCCGAAGCCGCTGGGAGTTGTGTTGGAAGTCCACCACTTCCCAGAGGCGTGTGATCTGCTGAATCCCTGCCCATGCTTCTGCAGATGTTTTCTCTGTTGGTTCTGGCTCTGCTCAGTTCTGCTACATTAAAAGCCCTTTTGTATCTACCATTCCCCCCCCCAAAGGCACTCATAAGCTGGTCTCAAGTTGCTTTTCATCACGTTTTTTTTTTTCATAAAATAAATATGCTCTGGAAGCATCTACATACAACAGTGGGTTTCTGATCCCTGAATAATTTCTGTGGTTTGTTTTCCACACCCTCTTTTTTTTTTTTTTTTTTTTTTTTTTTTTTCCTGACATCTTTTCTAAATCTGGGGTATCAGAGCTGGACACATTATTTCAACATCAAGTCCCGTGACGTGACATGCAGAAATTAAAAATCTCACCTCTACTCCTCCAACTTACACAGCCAGGGATTGTGTCAGTCCTTGCAAAGAGTAACATGCAAAAGCCACAAAACACCATATTGGCAGAATTATTTTGGGTTGCTCCTTTAGCATGCCTATATCCCTCTCAGCTGTATTGTGCTCCAGGTTCCTCTGTGTGTGGTCTGCTTGCCTGCTCTTAGACTTGAAAGCTTGCTTACAACCATACTAAGAGCACTTTTGTACAACTCCTAGTCCTCTTCATTATTTTCCAGTGTTATCAGCAGTTTTAATATTTACTTCCAAGTCATTAGTGAAAATATTCAATAGCATTCAGACCTATTACTGATCCCTGCAGAACCCCTCTAAAAAAATACTCTCCTCCAGTGATTCCCCTTTGACAGCTTCTTTGTTGACATGTCAGCCAGTTCTTAATCCATTTTATGTGCCTTGTATTGATAGGATAGAATGCTAATTTTTTAATCAGGATCTGCTGCACTGTCAAACACACAAAAGTCAGAGTCTATGCCGTCTTTGCAATTACTTTTATCAGCCAAAACCTACAATCACATCAAAGAATGAAATCGAGTTTGACAACCCTTCCTCCTAAAAAACATGTTGATTGGCATTAATCATTTACCTCTTCTTTAATGTCTTCTACCCCTTTGTACCCATATCAGTATTTTCATTATTTTGCCAAAGTAATGTCAAACTAGCTTACCACAGGCTGGGTCATCCTGCTTGTCTTTTATGAATGTGAGCACGAGGATGGCACGTTCCCCACTGTCTGGGATGCTGCTGGTGTGCTTAAAGAGCGCTAAAGGTTCCTGTCAATGGATCAGAGCTCTCTGTCCCATTCTCAGCCCAAGGTACCTGGGGCTACCTGCTTGGAAATGTTGTATCTTTAATAGCAACGGTAGCTAAGTAGGCTGTTAGAGAGTTGGACCAGAAACCATTTTACCCTTCTCCTGACAGGTAGGCATGTGAGGTTTTGACATCTCCTCTTTTTCTGTGGCATGACTAGTAGTTTTCCCATCTCCATAAGCCTAAGTTCAATGTCAAAATGAAAGAAATTTTTGCAGTTGTCCTGCCCTTCTCACTCAGGTAGACAGTGTAGTGGGGAACCATGGGGTAATGCATAATTATTTATAAGTCAATAGGAAATATGGATGAAGGTAAAATACTTTTTCACTCAGCCATCCTCCTCTGAATAGATACAGTTTGTTTTGATTGATGCACATGAGAACTAAAGCCCTGTGGCTGTGAAGAGTCAGTACGACCTGGGGAGTGGGGGATACCTGGGTGCACAGGACCTATTAGAGGAGAGACATCACTTGGAAATCAGAAGAAACCTGAGTTAGACAAACTAATCGTGTTAGTACAGATACGAACGGATAAGCAGCAGCAATGCTGGAGGAAGGTTCTGTGCTCTTCTATGCAACTCTGCAGGCACAGGTGCTCTTTCGGGCCACAGGGATACCATATAGGTGCCTGATCACGTCTCTTAGGCAGAGACTGTAAATGTGCTGAGATACCAACGTATCTGCTCAGGAACCTCAGCCTCAGGCCAGCACTCCTCAGAACAGACACGTGCCACTCCTTAACCCTGTAGACAACTCTACTAGTCAGGGTGACATAAATGCATCCTGGAGACAATTATTCCCACCTGAAGCAGTCTGCCTAAAACCAGGGAGAAAAGGAGCTGTCGCTGACTGTCCATTGGCTGTAAGAGGAGAACAGCAGCAGAATGCAGTTTTCTTAGTAGAGCCACCAAATCTTGCCCCCAGTCAGGTATCCTGCTTAACTACCAGCTGCAACCACTGCAAAGAAGGGAACAGGTCTTTGTCATATCTGCCAGCCCCATGTGGGTGTCTCACACTAAGTGTCTCAGGTGGCACCAGGCACCTCTGTTTAGGCGAATAAGTCAAGCCCTGGATGACTTGCTTAGCCAGCTCAGAGACCCAGGTGCACCGAGAGTCTTAGCACCTGTGTTGGGCAACAGTAAACTGGTCAGCAGAGTTGTTCTGCTTGCCCTGAAGTAGGCAAGTATGGCTCATTTTTTTTGCCAGATGTAGGCAGTCTAGTGCTGTTTGCGATGTCCTAGACTCTTCAAAACATCCATGAAGGCCCTGCAGATGTGATGCAGGATGAATAAGACATTTCTGACCCCCAACGTGGGGTATCCTAGGCCAGTTCAAAAGCTCTAAATGGCATAAGCACAGGAGTTTGTTGCATTCAGATATCCAGCTAAGGATCCCTAAGCTTAGAAAGATGAATCTTGAGCTGAATCCCACTTTAAGGCACTTATTCGCTTTCCTAAACCTGGGCCATCCATGTTGGATACTCCAGGGCAACTCAAATGGCACCGATGTCTGCATTTATAATACAAAAAATTAGCTATAAGGGTCTAATTTGTAGACAGATCAAAGTGAATTTCAGTGAATCCTATTGTTAACAAATGAGCCCACAGGCCCTAAGTGGGAATTATGCCCAAAAAAACCCTGACTGCACTGGGACTGCTTTTTAGAGAACAGATATATGCAGAATATCCCTATGACAGAAAAGCCAGACCCCCAAGGAGTTGCAGTTGCATGACCTATAGACCCCTTCTGGCATTAGTTTTATCTTACTCAACTTCTGACACTGAGGATCCCTAGGAAATGATCGCTTACCTTTCTTGTGGATGTGGACAAAGTAGCAGATAATTTGTGTCACCCCAACCTTGGTGTCTGATGCTGGGGTAATCATGGCACACGCTGGAGCACCCCCCCGCCCCAGACCCTGGATCCTCTTACTCAAAAGAACAGAAAAATAAAAAGCAGGAACCTTTGCAGCCTCTCTGTCAGTTTATTGCACTACTTGTCTGTCCTCACGGTGACATTTTTCTGATATCCAAGCTGAATCTCTCTTCTTGCAACCTACGCCCCTTGCCTCTCACACCTTCCAAATGCCACTGCAAAAAGCCCTGCTAAAACTTCTTGACAGCTTCCTCATAACTATCAGGGGAGGGTGCTGCTATTAAATGGTGCCCACAAAGGT